TTTTTTTTTTTTCTTTTGCAGTTTTTGGCTAGGACCAGGTTTGAACCTGCCATCTCTGGAATATGGGGCCAACACCTTACTCCTTTGAGTCACAGGCACCCCCCTTATCTAGCTTTCTTTTTAAAAATTATTTTTAATTAATTTTTTTAGAGACAAGGTCTCTCTCTACGCCCAGGCTGGAGTGCAGTGTGCAATCACGGCTCATTGCAGCCTCCAGCTCCTGGGCTCAAGTGATCCTCCTGCCTCAGCCTCCTGAGTAGCTAGGATTATAGGCACCCATCATCATGCCCAGCTAATTTTATTTTTTGTAGAGATGGGGTCTTGCTATGTTGATAAGGCTAGTCTGCAACACCTGGCCTCAAGTGATCCTCCTGCCTGGGCTTCCCAGAGGGCCAGGCCTTAGCCACTGCACCTGGCCTTGTTATCTGCCTGGCTTTCTCTCAGCAGGGACCCAATAGGCCAGTGGTTCTCAACCTTCCTAATGCTGCGACCCTTTAATACAGTTCCTGTGGGTTGTGACCCATAGGTTGAGGACCACTGTACTAGGCACTGGTATGTCTCTTTTACACTTGCTAAAAGGATAATTTATGCTCCTAATGGATACGACATGACACAAAAGTACCTTCCAAGCCTTCTAAAAACGATTACAGTACTAAGCACTGCATTGCAACAACTTAAGTGGATTTCAGGACAATGACTTGACATACAAGAATTATGGCCTTTGTGCTCTTTGTTCCTTGTTCAAACATTCAACGGATGCAGGAGTCTTGTCATCTCTTATAAGAGACAGCTTTGGGTCCAGCAGCTGTCAACAACAAAAATCCTCCCTGCCGCCTGGCACGGCCACCCACCCAGCCACCACATGCAGAGCGGGTGGTGCTTTCTTCTCTAAGGACGGCGTCCACCACTCTCCCCTCCCCAACATCCTGAACCTCACAGCATCAAGTCCCGGCTGCTTCCTGTTCAAACATTCCTCCCCAGTCTCGTCCTTTCTAGGCTGGACAACACCCATGTTCTGCGGACCAAAACCCTATGGGTCCATCTCACAGTTTCCAGCTCCCTCCCAGCCTCCAAGGGGCTCCTGCATTTCCCTTCACACTTGTGTTGTAGGGGATCTAGGGAAGATCTGGGAATGGCTGGAAATCTTTTATCACCATGCAAAATACTCAATATTGGCAAGTCTGGGTTAAGCCAAGAAAACCAAGTCCAAGGTCCAGCACTCTTCCAGCTTCTTTTGGTGTGTGAATAAAAATCTTCACTAAAGCCAAGTTCTCTAAGCCTGGAGATGGCACATCAATCCTACCAGCCTCACAGCCAAAATGATCCTTACTGGCCGGGCACAGTGGCTCACACCTGTAATCCCAGCACTCTGAGAGGCCGAGGCGAGTGGATCCCTTGAGCTCAGGAGTTTGACACCAACCTGAATTAAGAGCCAGACCCTGTCTCCACTAAAAATAGAAAACTTAGTTGGGTATCATGGTGGGCACTTTTAGTCCCAGCTACTTGGTAGGCTTAGGCAGGAGGATTGCATAAACTGAGAAATTTAAGGTTGCTGTGAGGTAGGCTGATGCCATGGCACTCTGGCCTAGGTGACACTTTATTGCAAAGTCAGGTGTCACTTGATAATTCCTATCTTGGCCCCTTCGAAGTGAGCTTTGAAGATTCATTTAGCTTCAAAGGGCTTCAACACAGGGGCAACTCATTTTCCAAAGATTTCCTGTCCTCTCTGTGTGTGAGTTAGTTTTCCTGGCCAAGTAGCTAACCTGGCCGTGGCAAGCCAGGACTGAGTCTGGGCTGAGTGGCCGCACTGCCTCACCTGGCCAGCATGATGCTGGAGTTTGGGTTGCTGGTGGCTGGCCCCGTGGGGCTCCACTTGATGGTGTAGATCTCCTTGCTGTGAGCCTGAAGGTCGTGCACACACGTGTCTTGCTTCATACTCCAGATCTAGGAACACATTGGCAGGGATATAAACACATGCCCTTCCTCCTACGGGGAGGATCCAGTGGTGCTCATTTCATGAGCCCTGAGTAGGTGGCTGGCCCATGGGGTGTCCCGTGGAGCGGAGCCATGAGTGGATAGAGGGGATAGGCCATGACAGTGATGCCTCTGACTGATAAGTAGGGGCTCCCGGGACGACAGAGAGAGGGGACATGCACAAAACACACAACTCCCAAAGACACCAGGGCTGTCGGGATGAAAGAGCCTGCCCTTCCAGGCACCCAGGTTACCTTCAACGTCATGTCATCTGAGCAGGATGCCAGCAACATTCCAGAAGGATCCCACTTGATGGCATTGACCTCGTTCTGCCAGAGAACACAGGGTTTGAGAGAGTCATGAAGGCCCTGCAGTTGCGGCCACTGTCCACCAGAGGGCAGGAGAGCGCTGTCGATGCCACAGCCTTGGGGGCTGAGCCCTGACATCAGAACAGGAGCTATGCACGTCCCTCTTTCTCAGTTTGCCTTTGCATTTATGTAAAAGCACCATCATGGACCACACGTAACCAACAACCTCATCCATGCTTCCCCAAGGAAGAAAAATTCCCTACCAGAAAGGAAGCCCAATGAAGAAGATACACATATAATAAAAGCACAGCAAATAAAACCAACCAGTTATTTTCTTTAACTGGCAAAGAATTTTGAAAATTAAAAACAAAAAGGACTTTGAAAATCACTTGAAGATGGTGCAAGTGATATGCACAACTGTACATGGTGAGGTGTGAGGGCATCAGGAGAAAGAGGTGAGCAACAGGGACACTCTCAGGGCGCTGAATCCCCACGGGGGACTGTCCATTCTGCCCCAACAGCCACTAGAAGGGAACACACAGGAGACGCACACTCCAACAGTAACTGCCTCTGGCAAAGTCTCGCGCTGGGGCAGATGCGCCCAAGAGAAATGGAGGGGCAGGAGTTCCATCAAGGGACTCTCTTGTGGGGTGTCTGCAGGGCCCCATCTGCCCAGGATGCCTGTTGTCCCTGCACAACAATTAGCTAATTTCACACTCACAATTAATCTAAGAAATTTCACACTTCTAACTGCTCTAGTTTGGAGATGATAAGTTACCTGATCTGGCTACTTTCTGGGGACGCTGAGATGTAAAGGTGTGAAATGTAGAAGTAACAAGCCCCCATCTGTGTTCCACATGGCACAGGTGACAGATGGCCCAGGACAGGGAGGAAGGAAGCCTGAGTCTCAGGAGCAGGCTGCAGCGGAGCCAGGGGCGGTCACAGGGGGCGGATTGGAGATGGGTGTGTGTGTGCGTGCCTCTGTGTGTGTGTGTGTGTGTGTGTGTCTCTTGTGTGTAACTGTGTTTGTCTCTGTGTGTATGTGCCTGTGTGCCTGTGTGTTTGTGTGTGCAAAAGCAGTTTGGGTAGCTCTGCTCACTGCTACGGAGGACCCACAGACAGACTTCTTAGGACCTGGAAATGTGGAGCCACTGACCATGGACTGTCCCCAGTGAGCCCACCTTTAATCTTCCAGGAAGGATTCCTATCTGGGAACAAACCCCTACTCCTAACCCAAGTTACAGTTCCTAGGTAGCAGGCAGAACCAGTTCTGGGGCTCTGATTGATTGCATTTGGCCAGTGTTTAGTTAAAAATAATGAGCCACAGTAAAACCCAGTTAGAACGAGCCAAGGGGCGTGAGGGTAGTGGTGCCCTACGCAGGGATGCTGTAAACCCCAGGGTCTGTGGGCAGCCCTGGAGAGTTTGTGGATCTTCTAGGGTTACAGCAGAAACAAGCGACAAGCAGAAACTGGAAAAACAAAGAGTCATTTATAGACACGAGATTTTTTTTTTTTTTTGAGACAAAGCCTCAAGCTGTCCCCCTGGGTAGAGTGTTGTGGCTTCACAGCTCACAGCAACCTCCAACTCCTGGGCTCAAGCCAGTCTCCTGCCCCAGCCTCCCAAGTAGCTGGGACCAAAGGCACCTGCCACAACGCCTGGCTATTTTTTGGTTGCAGCTGTCATTGTTGTTTGGTGGGTCCGGGCTGGATTCAAACTGCCACCTTAGGTGTACGGGGCTGGCACCTTAGCCACTTGAGCCACAGGCGCCAAGCCGACACGAGATGTTAAGATGATGGAGACCTGAGATCTCAGTCCCTTGAGAAGCAGGGACCATGGGCCAGGAGTGGGGGGAGGCACTCTAGGGAGATGAGCTGGCGGGATGAGGGAGTTTCCATTAGTTACAGGCCGGATGGCAGCTTTCTGGGGACTCAATCACCCAGATCCACTTTAACAGGAGGCCCCAACCCAGAATGGTATTCTGGGTGCTGGTGTGAAAACAGCAAGAAGCCATGGGCTGCTCCTGATGTGTTCTGCATTCTCTGCAGGACACAGCCACACCAGGACTGTGGCATCATGTGGGCCCCAGGAGCCCAGAGGACAGCTGAGTGGGTCTGGAAGGTGTGGAGGACCAAGGGATGCCACAAGTCTAAGGTGGGGCAAGTCCCTGGCAGGGCGTAGTGAGTGTGAAGAACTCAGGCAAACAGTCTGAAGGGCCCACGCACAGGGGGCTTTGGGTACCAGAGAGATCTGGGGACAGTGTCTTGGATGCCACACTAGGGAATCTAAATCAGCCATGCTCACTCTGTTATTCCTTGTACACATCATGGTATTTATCAGCCTCTGGCTGCTTCTGAGACTTTCCCTCATTGATTTCAGCATCAGAGGACCATATACCTAGGCATTCAGGGGTGCTTCTCTCCATCTATGCTCTGCTTGGCATTTGCTCAACCTCTTGGATTAAATGTTGATGGGTTTGCCCAACTGTGGAAAACTAGTGCATATTGCTCCATGTATTTTTTTCTGTTCTATTCTCTTTTGCCCTGCTATGCATGTGCGTTCAGAGTACTTGGCATTGTTCTGCAGGCCGTTAAGCCTGTGCTCACGTTTTCTCCCTTTCACGTGCTCTTCAAATCTGCCAATTCCAATGATCGCTCCTCAGGTTCACTAACCTAGTTCTGCCTGCTCCAATCTGTGGTCAGCCCACTTGTTAAGATTCTCATTTCAGACATTATACTTCTCCATTCTCGAATTTCCATTTGATCATACAGACTTTTCCATTCTCTGCTTGCACTTCCCACCCACTCACTTACTGTGAACACCTTTTCCCTTATGTCCTCACAAGTTTTTCTCACAGCTACTTTAAAGTGTTTGCTGCAGTGGCCAACATCGAGGTCGCTTAGTCAGCTGTTCTCACCGCCAACCCGCAATGGGGCTGATCCAGCCACAGGGCCGCAGGAGAACCGCTCTGCTGTCTCAGCAGCTCTCACATAGGAGCCAGAGAGACAGCTGCCACGTCACACTCCCACCAATGCGAGCCTGCAGACAGAGCTGCCACTTACTGTGTGTCCTTGGAAGGTTTTGACGGGGCGGTCGCAGCCAAGCCGGCAGACATGGATGCACATGTCAGTGCTGCAGGAGGCAAAGGTAGTGTTGTTCTGCCAGTCCACGTCCAGGGCGGGTGCTGTGGGGCAGGGCAGAGAAGGAGCAGTTGTGGTCACTCGGGTGCACACAGCTCTGAGAGCCAGAACAAGGAAGAGACAGTCAAGACGCCTTGCTTAGTAACGAGACAGAACACCCTCCCAGTGTGAGCACTCTTTCCTTCAAAGCCTTAAAGAGTGTCTCCTTTCACACTGCAGGGACAAGAGGCCTCTGTGCCCTGCAGTGTGAGGACTCCCTTCTTCCCAGGACAGGTAAGGAAGGAGGGGACATGCTGCCACTCTCTGAGCAGGGGCAGCTATGTCCAGCAGTAGCACTGTAGGGGTGGAAGGCAGGCTGACTGGATTCATTTTTAGATAGGGAGCAGAAAGAAGGAAGGAGACCTCACATCCCAGGTTCAAGATACCTGGATTTTAAACGATCTCTCCCAGCACATCAGTGCTTCCCATCTGCTGGGAGGTGATGGACAGGAGGCCCGCAGTGAGGAAGGAGGACATGGGGTGAACACCCTCCCCAAAGCCTGGGCTGTTCTCAGGTCAGGGCCTCCCAGGTCACAAGGACAGAAATAACACAAAGTTAACTGGTCTCACAGTTTAGCTGTGCTTCTCGTTCTCCACCTTCACTTTTCTTTTCTTTTTTTTTTAGATAGAGTCTCACTCGGTTGCCCAGGGTACAGTGCCATAGCCTAGCTCACAGCAACATCAAACTCTTGGGCTCAAGCCATCCTCTTGCCTCAGCCTACCAAGTAGCTGGGACCCTCCACAAAACCCAGTTAGTTTTTATATTTTTAGTAGAGGTGGGGTCTTGCTTTTTGCTCAGGCTGGTATTGAACTCCTAAGCTCAGGTGATCCATCTGCCTCGGCCTCCTAGAGTGCTAAGATTACAGGCGAGAGCCACAGTGCCTGACCCTTTTAATTTCTTTACTGGGATGGCAGCAGGAAACCCAGCAACTTTCCAACACACCCAAACAGCTAATACCAGAGTGAAACACCGCACCCTGGTCCAGCCCCCAGAGGGCCAGATGACACAGGTCTGCACCATGCTCTGAGGGACCCTGGAAACACAGGTGAGTGAGAACACTGCAGGCAGCACAGCCAGGGCCTCATGCCTCCTTCCTCTCTGCCCTTTCCATGATGTGTGACCTCCAGCAGGTCAAAGGCTTCCAGAGCCTCTCTGTCCACGGGGATGCTGCATGCTGAGCCAGGAAGGTGGGTGCCAAGGGCATCTGTATCTTGTAAACCTTAAGAGCAACACTCACCGTGAAATGAGTCTACCAGCCATGTTCCCCGGGCTCCCTCCTGTGTGTACTTACAATTACCGTAAGGGACTCTGCCTTGCCGGGCGGGCATGGGTTAAAATTGGAGCCTCTTTCCCAGCCAGAAGCCACACAATACCATGTGGTTGCTAAATGCTCTTCATACACCTATTGAAGCCTCCCAGGAAAAAAAAAAAAAAAACGCCCCCAGCATTCCCAGAAAACCCAGCTGCTATTCCGCCAACAACCACTGGAGGGCCCCAAAGAGTCGCCACAGCTTCCCTTAACTCACTGCACAGGTGCCTCGCAAGCCCACAGACCAGAGCACCACCACTTCTTGGATACCTCCTGAGTTTGATGCAACAGCAGAAAGCTGGTTCCTAGCCTACTGGAAACGTCGTCACCGAGACCAGGCAAGGCGTTCAAGTTGAAAATCTAGCACCTCCAAATTTCCACATCTAAATTTTGAGAGTCTACATTCTCCTTCCATTTCAGAGACATTGGAGAGCCCTTTAATCAAGGAGTGCCCCCGATCAACAAGGACAGAACAATTCTAGAAGACCCTTAGTTCCAGTGCTCAGTCCCCAAAGCTCTGGGGACCTGTCAAGACACACACTTCAGAGTTTACCTTATATGTTCACTCCGCCTGACATCCAGACCCCAGAGTCATCCTTTATGAAGGAAGAATCTGTTTCTCAAGATCAGAAGGAAAACAGCCTTCCATAGTGCTCTGGTCACACTAATACTCCCAGCAGCCCAGAGCCTGGGCCTGTTCTGGTTAAAGACACACCCGAGACCAAGTATGGGATAAAGGTCACGGGAGGAGATGACAACACCTGCTGGCTTACCTCAGGGAGCGAGGAAAGCTGAGTAGAAGCCAGTTCCTGGTAAAAACTGACTCCCTCTCTTATCAACACTCTCGAGAAATTGCTGATTTTCATAGAGTTGCTAAAGTCACTTTTCTAACTCATGGGAGTCTATCAATAGAATAAAATAGAAATAACACCAACAGAGAAAAAAA